GGTAATTTGAAGGAAAAAAGGTATATTCGCTGAATTTTATTTTCACTGAATTGCTCCTTCAGTGAAAATAGTGAAAAAATTTCCCAGCGAAAATAAAGTGTTTTACAGTATTGTCTATTTTGTTAGGCACAGAATATAGCATGTTTAAATAATGGGAATAAAAGATGGCATGTGAACATTCCCCATCAGAGTCGTGTTATGTATGATGACATTGACCAGGATTTCTTAACATGAACAAAACTATATTGGGTTTATTTAAACGATTCTTACAAATATAAAGTGGGTGAACTTTGGTTAATGCCGATTCACTTGCATTCAGTTTTGTTCGCGCATTGTTCTAATGCACTGTCGGGATATTGCCTGATAACCAGTGAGAACATGCTATTGTGATGCATGATATTGTAATACTAATATTGTAATGCTAGAGTTGGTTAATACAAGTGACATTTGTTGTATTATCTTGACTAAATAACTGATGTCGTCTTATCACATGCCAACCTCAAATTGCCTTTGAAGAAATTGAAATTCTATGGAACTAAATTGGCTTATTAAGTACAGTTGTGGGTTTGAATGGTTATCAGCAGTGATATTAACTTTCCTAACAATATATATTCAAATTATTGCAATTGTTAAGAGTTGGTGTCATTGCACCATGCAAGTAATTGGTGTTTTTTGTCTAAAATTGGATCAAATTGTCATTGCTGTGAGAAACACTTGCAATCGCATAATTTGTTTTTACTTGCATTCTGTTTGCATGTGCATAAAATGATGTAGTTAATTTTAACATTATGATATATAATGATCATGTTTATCAACTTCAACTCATTGAAAACATTTTAAATCATTGTCAATAGTTTAGCATTTCCAAGCATATTTGGCTTCTCTCACTTTCAGCCTAATGTTTTGGACTGACTGGGGTGCGAAAGCCAAAATTGAGAAAGCTTTCTTGGATGGAAGTAACAGAGAAGTGATTATTGATAGTGACTTAGGGTGGCCTAATCACATGACTGTGGACAAAGTTCTTAAGAGAATCATTTGGACTGATGCTCAAACTCACACGATAGAGATGGCTGACTTTCAAGGACTTCAAAGGTAATCAAATATTGTTTTTACGCATTAGGATTCAAGTTGTTGGTTTTGCATGTGAAGCACAAAAATGATAAACATTTCTTGATATCACCATATCTGGTAATATTTAATTCAGCAGGTGTACATTACACATTTCTCGATATCACCATATATGGTAATATTTAATTCTGCAGGTATACATTACACATTTCTTAATATGGTAATATTTAATTCTGCAGGTATACATTACACATTTCTTAATATCACCATATATGGTAATATTTAATTCTGCAGGTGTACATTACACATTTCTGGATATCACCATATATGGTAATATTTAATTCAGCAGGTGTACATTACACATTTCTTGATATCCCCATATATGGTAATATTTAATTCTGCAGGTATACATTACACATTTATTGACATCACCATATATGGTAATATTTAATTCTGCAGGTGTACATTACACATTTCTTTATCACTATATATGGTAATATTTAATTCTGCAGGTATACATTACACATTTCTTAATATCACCATATATGGTCATATTTACTTCTGCAGGTATACATTACACATTTCTTGATAACACCATATATGGTAATATTTAATTCTGCAGGTGTACATTACACATTTCTTAATATCACCGTATATAGTAATATTTAATTCTGCAGGTGTACATTACACGTTTCTTGATATCACTATATATGGTAATATTTAATTCTTTAGGTACACTTTAATAAACGACTTGTATAATCCCTATGGCATTGTTCTATATGAAAATGTACTGGTGTGGACAGATTCCCAACTTAACCAGATATATCTACTGAAAGAAAAAGATTTTTTCCAACATGGAAATAAAACAACATCAGTTAGTGCTCCTGGTGTATTGGATGTCCGTGTCTTTATGGAACCAGCTGGAAAAGGTAACTATTGTAATCCTAGTTACGGTACAATTCACATTAGCTAAGTTTTCGAAGCAAAGACAACAAATTAAACAGATAAAGAAAAACTCGTGAAATCAAATTATAACATTCTAATGGTAGATACATTACTAGCCCTAAAAAAAACTTAATACTGGCTGCCAAAATTATCTATTTCTTCAGTTACCCGATATTTTTTATTTATTTTTTGCTCAAGCTGTGTTGTATTTTCTATCTTAATCCCAAAGGACATGATTTCAATTCAGGTTTTTGATTTATTATTAATATTCACACATAAGCTGCTTATGGGGTTGGGGATAATTTGGAAGAAAAGGAATGTGAAGAGAGCAATATACAACAACAAAAACAACAAATGTGGCAGAGATATGTCAGTCTATTAACAATGCGCAGCCTGATAATAACAATGTTGGGCACAACTCAGTGCAGTATAGGTACAGTCTTGAAGTATGCGTTAGTTGATATTACAGCCCTCCTTCTTTCTTGCATGTACTTTGAGCTAATGCCCTAAGTTTTTAGTATGTTATATGAATATTGTTGCTAATTTTGATTTATAATTGTCATGAATTGTTTTGTATGTTACACTAGAACTGAGTGTGTGTACTGGTGTAGAAGATCTATGTGACGGTGGATTGTGCCTACCAACACCAACTGAAGCAGTCTGTGGATGTCCAACTGGACTAAAATTACAGGATAATCAATGTCTTGGTAAGTCTTTTTTCTTTACTTGATACTTATTAACCCTACGAGTGCGATATTTTCACATTTTGTGAACCTTGACTAAATTTCATCACCATTTTAGACCGTACAGTTTCAGACTATTGCTTTTAGTTTTTTATCAAAAAGTTAATCAATTTCTATCAATATTTTTGGGCTGAGGCGGGGGGGGGGGGGGATGAGAACACTGTACAAAATTATTTTGTGGATGGTGCCAACAGTTGACAATAATACTCAAAGGGTTAAAGCATCACTTGCTAGTTTTTCTGTCTGTACATGTATGTGTGATTATATGCATAATTTTCATTTTAACAATTTGCTGTTCCAGCCATATTGCATTGACATTAACATTTATACAATGGATTTTTTTGATAAACATACATGTACATATATACAGATGACTTGAACTGAACATTGAAATCGATTACCGGTAATACCAAACAGACTTTGCATTGTCGGTGCTTGCAAATATTTTTGTCATATTTGGTAACAAATTGATATCTACTTTTTTTAAAACTGCTTTGATACTTGAAATATCGACTTGGAACGTTGACTGATTTCACAATATCACTGCTTACACATTCATTGCCAACTTAGGAGACCATAGTTTATTTAAGCAATAATGCCTGTTGAAGGCCGGTATACCACGAGATACTGCACAATTCACGACATGTATGCACGAGCCGCAGGCGAGTGCATATATGGAGTGAATTGTGCAATATCAAGTGGTATACCTAACTTCAGCAGGGAGTTATTGCTATTATACCAGTATATTGACAATTCTATAAAACTAGTGAAAGTGTTTACTTGCATCTACTATAAGATCATGATTATGGCCCTTGAACATGAATATTTATAAGAATAGTATGTAGTTGTACACTGAATGAATAAAAAAAATTACATACACAACACAGTTCAAATTAAATACAAACTAATTTTTATTCTGCGTGAAAACGAAATGTATTCACAGTGAAAAGAGCAGCTTAACACAAAAACTAGCATAACAAAAGATGACCTTTCTGACCTTTTACTGACTGCATTAATGCCATTTGAAATGTAGGATCTTATACAGTTTGGATCATTAAGATTTTCCAGGTTTTTATTTAGGTTTTCGTACAATTTGTTGAGGGACAGTGGTTAGGTTTGTGTGGCGAACGACGATCAACCCAACAACTGACGCTCACAACTTGGATTCCGCCATTAAAAACAAAAAGCAATATTATGGTTATATAATTCTTCAGATGTTTTTAATATGGTATTTTTTCAAATATTTATCCAAAATTCAACCACTATATTTCTCTAAAAGTCAAATACTACCAGTTTTATGTATTTCCGCAATAAACCTGTAGTCAATTCATGTTCCAGGGCCACTTTGCTTAGCTGTGCATTATCAGCCAATATACCATGGATTGCATATGCAAATTTTGTGTTTGGACCAATCAAATCAATGGATTAACACCATCAATATACTGGTATAATATAATAAATCATATTTCACTGTTAAACTTAGTTCCAAGTGGCTGTACTGTAAATGACGAGTTCCAATGTGCAAATGATCAGTGTTTGCCAATAGCTTGGAGATGTGATGGCATGCAAGACTGTCGAGATGGGTCTGATGAACAAGACTGTGGTAAGTTGTGATTATGTAACTATAACAACCATTGTGCCATTTGTAATGGTCTTCCAGGAGTTTTTAGCTCCGCTGATGACTTTGTCGAGTGGAGCTTATCATATGAGTGATTGTCCGTCTGCGTTTTACTTTTTCGACTTCTTGAAAACTACAATTGTTATTGCTTTGATACTTGGTGTATATGTACCTTGGGATGACCTGTCTCAGATTTGTTAGGATATTTTAGGATATCTTAAAATCTCTAATTGTGATGAATGTTTTTGTCATTCTTGGTAAAAAGTGATATTTTCGACTTCTTGTTAAAAACTGCAAGTATGATTGATTGATATAAATGACTTCTTGAAAACAACCAGGGACTGAATTTCACAGAGGCATTGGAAAAACACCTACCCTAAAAATACAGAATAGCTTGCTTGTGCAGGATAAGTCAGTGTGCTGTCTGGGAATCTGTTTGGACATAAAATTTGCTTTATCCTGATACTCAAATGTGTCTGGAGCTATTTCTAAGATGACAAGTTTGATCAAACTTGGTATGGTGATTGCATGTCTATTGGCTTCAGGTGCCTGTCAAATTTGATGGGGGGGGGGGGGGCACACTAATGTATTTCCTGATTCAGTTGAAATTTCTTGCACACATGTACTAGTAGACGTATATCGGTTGTCATTCTGTTATTTGACTTAAAATGTTTATTTGATGACTATTTTCTCTAAAACCTCAAACTCTCTTGAATAACTTGTTTCCTGGAGATGGACCAAAATGGGGACTATGCACCGTCTGGGCTTTTATTCTGTCATTTTTAGTGAAAATAAATCATGATGACTTCAGGAAAACTACAAGTCTGACCAGTTTTATACTTGAAATGTATGAACCTTTGATAGACTTTTATGACTATTCTGGTGGTAACAATCTTAATCACCATGGAAATTACAATCTATACTGGCATAATTGTATTATGGCAAGAACAATGTGATAATAACCATGTCCAAGTAACTTTTGTCATCGGACATCAGCTTTGCTGACGAGAATTTACCATAACATTTTAGATTCAGTTTTGATTGAACAAAGGTCTGCATTTCCTTACCCCTATGCATTTTTGCCATGCATTCATGCATGACAATTCCTTTGAATAAATCCATGAAAATAAAGAATATTGTGAGTTATTAGATTCATGTCTGTTTTTACAATAACAATTAATGTCTCGTTGGTTTTTAACATCAGGTAATAGATGTGCTGCAAATACATTTCTTTGTAATAATGGTAAATGTATACCTAGTAACTGGGTTTGTGATCAGGATAATGATTGTGGAGATTATTCTGATGAATTACAATGTAAGTATCAAAACGCTATTTGTTGTCGTTGTTGTACCATGGCCAATCCACTGTAACCTGTACCAGTCCCTGTGTCACCATGGCCAATCCATTGTAACCTGAACCAGTCCCTGTGTCACCATAGCCAATCCACTGTAACCTGAACCAGTCCGTGTCACCATGGCCAATCCATTGTAACTTGAACCAGTCCCTGTGTCACCATGGCCAATCCACTGTAACCTGAACCAGTCCCTGTGTCACCATGGCCAATCCATTGTAGCCTGAACCAGTCCCTGTTTCACCATGGCCAATCCATTGTAGCCTGTACCAGTCCCTGTGTGACCATGGCCAATCCAATGCAACCTGTACCAGTCCCTGTGTTACCATGGCCAATCCAATGCAACCTGTACCAGTCACTGTGTGACCATGGCCAATCCAATGCAACCTGTACCAGTCACTGTGTGACCATGGCCAATCCAATGCAACCTGTACCAGTCCCTGTGTGACCATGGCCAATCCAATGCAACCTGTACCAGTCACTGTGTGACCATGGCCAATCCAATGCAACCTGTACCAGTCCCTGTGTTACCATGGCCAATCCAATGCAACCTGTACCAGTCCCTGTGTTACCATGGCCAATCCAATGCAACCTGTACCAGTCACTGTGTGACCATGGCCAATCCAATGCAACCTGTACCAGTCCCTGTGTTACCATGGCCAATCCAATGCAACCTGTACCAATCCCTGTGTTACCATGGCCAATCCAATGCAACCTGTACCAGTCCCTGTGTGACCATGGCCAATCCAATGCAACCTGTAC